TTTTAACAGCTGTACCAATCAAACAATGTGCAATAGGTTAACAAACAACTGGTGGGTGAAATTCCATTGCAAGCCAGAAGACTCACGAGACAGGGAAAGGTGAGACCCTCAGGGTTAAAACATTCAAAGGCAGAGAGAACAACCCAAACAGAATCATGCCAGTCCCTCTGTCCTGGCTGCTGTACATCAGGCCATGAGCCACACAAGCCCAGAGCATCTGCCAAAGGTCTCAGACAGCTGCGCAAGCACTCTCTGCCATTTGTTCAGCTGTTGTGAAGTGAGAGAGACGCATAGTCCCAGGGCTCCAGCAAGCAGATTTCTTTTTTCAATTCAGAATAATGTGATTAGAATACAAATTTTTTATTAGTTCTGATTTTTGTCTCTCTAAATATATATTTACCTGGATGAATACATCTACTGCTTATTTTTGCAACTAATGAAAGTGAATAGAATATATCATGCCATATTAAAAAATGGGTAGTGCTGAAAAAAGAAAATAAATCACCGTTTTCACCTAAGAGCAGTTATTGCTTAAAGAACTAAGGGCCCATTCACCTGGCAACTCAAAATATCTTAAATATAATTTGTCAAAGTTCTATCACTTTCCTTCTTTCTTGCATATGAGCATCACAATTTCAAGGAAAATGATTTAATGGTGAAATTTCAAATCATAGCATAGCCAGAGCACCTTACAGTTATCAACAGAGTTACGATGCAGAAATAAATTCATTGGACTTGTTAAAAATGTGAATTGCTCCTTTCCACTAAAGAAGAGAGAAAAAAAAAACACCATCAAAAGAAAAATATAAAGGCTTCGCTGACTGATCTTTGTTGCTTTTCACATTTGTTATAAAGACTCACTGTGTGGAATTTAATTATATTAGTTATCTTGGTAACAAGCTATTAATTTTGTGCTTCAAAGTTATTAACCACCTTTCTGTATACAGTTCACAGGCGAATAAACGGACTTAATCCCCGTATTAAACTACAAGACAAACCAAATAATCCCATGTTTCAGGACTTCTCAAAGTTGATTACCTCCTTGGCAATGCTTTACCAGATGCCAAAGACACAACTGCTGCTTAAAAAAACAGTCCCTGGCAGTTTATATGAGAAGCTGTGAAAGTGGATTTAATTACACTTTAATAGCCATTCCTCTCCAGACCAGACATAAAAGGTCACCAAGGAAAAGCATTTTTCCCCAGTGACTCAACCATGTTGGGTTAGTAGAATGTCTTCTTCCAATGATTGCACAACTCCTGAGAGCATCTGCTCGTAAAACATGACATATAGCTAACATTTGCAAATTTAAACAAGTCAGCAGAGGAAATAAAATATTTAAGATCATAACATTTACTGTCAAAAGAAGTTTGTAGATTTCTTTTTTTTTGACCATGTCTAATTTTTCAGAGTAAAACATAACATTTTAATTCTAAAGCAGCAATTTTAGAAGATGACATGTATCTCCTAATTACCAAAGGATATTTTACTTATAAGAAGCACTATACATGTAAAATAACTACAGTAAAAGATAGAGTTATTATCATTAGTCAGGATGCTTATTTGCATTTAAGGGCCTCTGTGCTCTAACAGGAGCAAACAGTAGTTAAGGATATCAATATTGCCATGGGAATTTACAATGATTTATTTCTTTGATTTATTAAAAAGTTAGTCATAGTTCAAAGGCCTCTGAATACCCATAAAATTAGGAAATTATTGCCATAAAATAAGAAATACAAGCAAAATCTTCATACAGGAAGCAATCCAACAGGATAGTACTTATTGGAAATTACTTACATTATAAAAAGATATTTAAAACAAAAACTTTGACGAAGCTATATCTATAGACTACGATTTCATGAAACTCATTTTTTTGTTCTATTGCTAGAGAATATACCTCATTTCTAGTATAACCATTTCCTTTTCTTTTGAATCCATTCTAAAATAACATATAGGTAAAGATATTTCTCTGATGCACCCATCAGTAGATGAGTGGATAAAACAGCTATGGTACATTTACAAGATGGAATACTAATCAGCCATAAAAAAAAAATTTACCCTTTGCGACAGCATGGAGGGACCTGGAGAACATCATGCTAAGTGAAATAAGCCAGTCAGAGAAAAACAAGTACCACATGATCTCACTCATATGTGGAATATAATGAACAAACTGAACTAATAAGCAAAACAGAGACAAACTCATACATAGAGAGCAGGCTGGTAGCTCTTGGGTGGGGGGTGGGTGGAGGCAGGGGGTATGGAGGGATTGAGCAATAAAGGAAAAAGAATAGAAAGAATTCATCGACATGGACAAGTGTGATGACTGGCGGGGGGTGGAGGTGGGAGAGGGTATAGGGTGAATAAATGGTAATGGAAAAATTTAATTTTTAAAAAGCTAAATAGTTGAAGATGTTTTAGTATAATAATCTATTTAAGGCACACATTAAAATTCCCACATCTGCTATTATTTTTCAATGATACAATATATGAACAAGTTCATTATAGTCTTAAGAAAATAACTGGAGAAAAGTTATTTAAAATAAAGAATGGAGTAGAAAAAAGCAAAAGAAAATATGTTTATAAAACTGTACATTTATGCCAACGGCCATAAAATACGAATAAAGGAATATAACTTATTCTTGGTTGGTAGAGCTCAATTTTATATCATTTCTTCCTAATATAGTCTAGAGGCTCAATGCAATCTCAGTGAAATCAGCAAGGGATTTTCTTGGAAATGGGGAGAAGGAAGTGTTCCATGAGTTTAGATAAAAGGATGGATGTGTAAGAACAGTCAATAGACTTATGAAAATTAACTTTTATTGAAGAAAGGACTTTTAATTCAAATAACTCTTAAGTAACAGGATAACTGTACAAAGGATATTTCTGCTTATAACAGTTAAAAACTAAATAAACTATGCAAATAGCATCTCACCCTACAATGAAACACTCNAAAACTAAATAAAACTAAATAAACTATGCAAATAGCATCTCACCCTACAATGAAACACTCCCCTGTCATTAACAATGATGATAAGTTTCTAGGTTTATTTTTCAATGAAAGCTGTTGATTACATATGGTTAAGTGAAAAAAAAAAAAGTAACAAAACAGTGCACAAGATATGATTCAATTTTCTTAAGGTGTAGAAATGGTAGATATGCATCAAAAGACTAAATGTGATATTTCTCTGCATAGTAGAACAAAGGGTGATTTTTCAACTTTTATACTTTTTGATATTGTGGGAATCTTCCATTATAAAGATGCATTATTATTATAATCATAAAGCATTATTTTATTATTGTGTGGGAATTTATGGATAAGAAATAATAAGTAGAACTGAAAAGAAGTGGCTACAAAACAAGACTCATATACAGGGCTGGGCAAAAGCAGGTTTACAGTTGTGAGTATGTGAGAGTTAATTGTTGCATTATTATTTATTAATTATTGTGTTATTTGCCATACGCACAACTGTAAACCTACTTTTGCCCCATGCTGTACATGCTGTTTAAAAGAGACCCACTTCAGATCAAAAGACACACACACACTGAAAGTAAAGGGATGGAAAAGGTATTTCATAAAAATGGAAACAGAAAAGAAAGCTGGGGCAGCAATATTTACTTCTGACAAAATAGACTTCAAAATGAAAGCCATAATGAGAAGATGTAAGCCTTGTAAACATTTATACACCCAACATAGGAGCACCTAAATATATAATGCAAATACTGAAGGACATAAAGGGAGAGATGGATAGTAATGCAGTCATAGTAGGGGATTTTAACACCCCACTGATATCAACGGATAGATCTTTCAGACAGAAAATCAACAGGGTATTTACCATGTGTCAGGAATAGTTCTAAAAGCACTTTATATGTGTATTAAATCAATTATTCCTCAAAATGACCTATGGGGTAAGTCTTACTATTATCCCTCATTTTTCCAATGGGAAATGAGCTAAGTCCCTTGCCCAAGGTGACCGAGCAGGTGATAAACCCAGGTCACCTAGCTCTAGGTCACATTTTATTTTTATTTTCTGTACATTTAAAAATTTAAATATTTAAAATTTTAGAATAGTTTCAGACAAGTTACAACAAATAGTATAGAGAGTTCCCGTAGATCCTTTGCCAGTTTCCCCTATTGTTAATATCTTATATTACATGGAACATTCGTCATAGCTGAGAAACACACATTGATATGCTGATATGAACTAAACTGCACACTTTCCTTGGATTTCACTAGTTTTCCCCTAATGTTCTTTTTCTGTTCCAGGATTCCACCCAGGATACCATATCACATTGAGTTGTCATGTCTTTGTCACCTCCTCTGGGCTATGACAGTTTCTCAGACCTGTTTTTGATGACCTTGTTTTTGATGACCTTGACAATTTTGAAAAGTACTAGTCACATATTGTGTAGAATGGCCCTCAATTTGGGTTTGTGTGACGTGTTTTTCATGCCTAGACTGTGCTCATGGTTTTGGGAGAAAGATCACAAAAGGAAAGTGTCGTTCTCAATACACTGTATCAAAGGCACATGCTACCAGCATGATTATCTTTGCCGACAACCTGGAAAACCTGGCTGAGGTATGTTTGTCTGGTATCTCCATTTTAAAGTCACTATCCTCTCCTCCCCTCAGCTGCTTTCTAAGCTCTACTTTATGGGAAAAGGTTACAGATCAAAGCCCACATTTAAGTGGGTGGTGATGGGAGGGTGTTAAGAAGGGGGATATCTATATAAATTATTTGTAATTTTTCTGTTGGAGCTCTCATTTTGCCTCTGAAAGCCTGTCCTTTCTTACCATTTTGACATATTATTAATGTGCAGTAGTTTAAAAACATAATTATTAACTAATTTATTGCTTTTTCAAAGGTCCAAAAATATGTTAGAATTAAGTGTGACAACCGATAAATTTGTTTCAAATTATTTTCCACTACCACTGTGGAATGTGTCACTAAAGGATGAATTAGAAACCAATTTTTCTCAAAAACATTCTGTAAAGAACTTACCAGAAATATTCGTTCAAGTTGATCCTGAATGTCTTTCATTCCTGGAAAAGCAGCAACTCCTTGGATCATTTCAACAAAGATGCAGCCAACTCCCCTAAACAGAGAAGAGACAATTGTTACAAAAACTTCAATATATTCTGCTTAGAAAAATAAAACTGGAATTAGAACACCTGCACCCAACATAGGAGCACCTAAATATATAATGCAAATACTGAAGGACATAAAGGGAGGGATGGATAGTAATGCAGTCATAGTAGGGGATTTTAATACCCCACTGATATCAACGGATAGATCTTTCAGACAGAAAATCTGAAAACCTGCTCCTAGAGAAAAACAATGAATAAATAAGGTTCTCAGTGAGAACCAGGGGCTGTTAAAGATACACCTAGATCCCATAGCTTTCTTTCCCGTCTCTGTCTACTGCCCTGAAAGGAATTTAAATACATGCAACTATACTGGGCTCAAAAAAAGGTGGAAACCAATAAAATCTAAAACGTGGTGGCTCTACCTTACTTACAGGATACAGTCCAGAAACTGCTTACCCTGATATAGAAGCCACCAATCCCTGGTATAGGCAGAGAGCTAATCAAATACTTCTGCTGGGGCTTTGGAGACCAAGTCGCTTGGAGCAGAATGAAAATAAACTTAGCATATGTAGATGGGATAAGTCACATTAGTGTCAGAGAACTAGGCCACCTTCGTGCAGACCAAGTTCCCTGAATTGGCCTGGTTCCTGCCTTTCTAAAGTCTGGATATTCAGATAATCCAGTGTTTTTGCTAGATCTCTCTACCAACATTCTAGCAATTCTCCAAGATTTTTTTTTTAATGGCTCTACCTTGAATGAGTTTGTTTCCTGAAAGTATCCTAATAAATCATGAAGATATGGGGTTAACTGCTGCACTCATATTCAATTTAGGGTGAGCAAACCCTTGTTTCTTTACCTTATTTCAGGTCCTCTAGAGCAGAGGTGGGGAACCTTTTTCCTGCCGAGGGCCATTTGGATGTTTATAACGTCATTTGTGGGCCATACAAAAGTATCAGCTTATAAATTAGCTATGAAAAAAGCTCCCACATTTATTGAATTTCAAGTCCTGCCTGCAGTAGCCTTGGCAGGGCCAGACCAAATGATTTCACGGACCAAAGTGGGCCGGACGTTCCCCACCCCTGCTCTAGAGGTTAAAGACAAGGGGCCTACTTCTCTATAGCTACCCAGTTGTTATCACAATTGTACATAAATAGTGTTTTGAATTAAAGAAGTAATGCATTTACAGAAATCGCTTCTCTAGTATACCACATAATTTCTATCCAAATTAAACACCAATAGTATATAGAGTCAAAATGAACAAATACAAATGTTACTTTGTATAAAAAAATAATTCAAGTAGTAAAGAATTAATTTCAAAAATCCATGTACTAGGCAGATGGGTTTTAACATTTTTCATTTAAGATTTGAGACACAATAGAGGTATTGAGAATTATTTTATTAGCATATTAAAATGCAATGATATTCTTATAAATATTAGGGCTTCAGATGTCCAGTTAGGTGTAAAATTTCAATTTGGTGATTTTACAAATTTTAATGCAACAAATTCTTTTCTAAGACTACTAACCTGCACCTTTATTGTCATCTTATTTACATTTACATAAACTATCTCAGATTTAAATAGCTACCTGCACCTTCCTTTCCTAGTATTCAGAACAAACCCTCTACTCTCCACCTTTGGGCCTTAGTCTTTCCCACCACAAGCTCCACCTCTGAGTGTGAAGACCCTTACTAGAAGGCACAGCCACCCCTGCTGTCTACCCTGCTAAGCTAGCTGGTGAGGTAACCATTACACCGTCAGGATTCCTTACAGAAATTCTTTAACCACTGCTTGTGCTTAGTCTATACCATCTCCATAATATGATACTTAGAACAATTAAAAGGCAAATCTATGCTGTAACTCTGCTCAGCGGGAAGGCGATGATATAGCACATCTGTAGGTTCTTGCCTGCTTAGCTAGCGAAGGCACCTGAACTCCCATTTCTAATGGATGTTTCCTATGACATCACTTTTCAAAGATGCCTTAGGGTATACTAGTAAAGCTGAGAGAATTATACTTCAAGAATTTATAAAAGGAGATAGGAACCTCAAGAAAGTTAAAAAGTAGAAATATAAAACATATCAACATATTAACACAGCAGAATACTTTATTACTGGAGCTGCCTTACTGCCAAAGAGCAATAAAAGCCCTTCAATGTAATCTGAAGGGACTACCACCTGCTTTCCTCTATTCCCCTTCCTACTCTGCATTAGCCTGTGCGCTCTCTTGATGGATCAAGTTGACTGACCTTAGCAGTTTACTTAGAAACAATTCATCCACTTATGTTCTACACTTATGATAAACTTATTTCAGTGCATGTCTCCTTTAAGTTATTGCTTCTTTTGACAATTTGAGTAATTATGTAATTATCACTCACTTAGTCTAAATTTTCCAGAAATAAGAACTGGTCACAAAGCTCACAATTAAAGTTGTCATAAGACACAGTGTGTTTAAATACTTATTTTAGGATTAGTTACCTTGTAAGATAATATATAAAACATCCACCATGCTTACACATTTTTTAATTCTTCTGAACTCAAAACTTCCAAATTTAATTTATGCCACAGATGTATAAATAGGTTTTTATCACAAGCTGAACTGATCATTTCTGTAATTATGAGCAGAGACACTATTTTTTAGGCCTGAAGGTCAGTTTTGAAACTCTTATTTTAATAAAGAATATAAAATTATGAATAAAAAATTGGGTACAAAAGTGAATTTAGAAGCCCTAGCCGAGTAGCTGAGTTGGTTAGAACATGATCCCGATACACCAACGCTGTGTGTTTGATCCCCGGTCAGGGCACATACAAGAAGCAACTAATGAATGCATAAATAAGTGGAATAACAAATTGATGTTTCTCCCTCTCTCTAAAATCAATCAATCAATTTTGTTTTTTAAAAAGGGCATTTAGAATGAGAAAATAAATCAAAAGAAGTCATAAAAGACTTAAATCTAACAAACGCGACAAATAGTATAAAACGTAGAAAAGTAATGTAACATTAATAAACTGACACACCTCTCTGATGCTTTTCTTTCTAAAATTTTGCATGCATAATCTTTGATTACCTCTTCTGTAACAATTCTATAATGTCATCTGTAAAGAAAATACAAAGAATACAGAGATAACTTAGTCTTTCCTTTACCATAATGATGACCTTTTCTGATAATATAGAGAAAAGTTTCTTTGTTTTCCTTCAGCTTCGATTCTCATTATTGGTATAGTCATGTAAATTTTCAAAACTGCTGTCAATTTTAGAAAAACGTCTATCAAGCTCCTTACAAGTATATCTGTATACTATAAACACAGTAATTCTAAAACAGTCTACACAATTCCCATGATAAGATACAAGAGGATATGCTCGTCACAATGCGGAAAGCTAGGAAGGACTTGTACTCTTGATGACTTAAAGGACAGGACCTGATGGGTAAGAAGTGATGGCGGCAGGGGCGGGCATGGGAGTTCAGGTGGAGACAGGATCCAGTAAGGAAGGAATCTAGACAGAGCCATACGCCGTTGTTTTGGCTCTGAGTGGAAAACGGAAAAGTTAAAAAGAGAAAAGTCCATATTCTGCACTAAGAAGTTGGTGTTTATCCCTGGGCTAGAAGGCCTCAGGTTTTTCCTGCATCTCAATACAGTGGATAAAGCCTGCTGGACACACATGTGGGGAACCCAGATTACAGCTCAGGAGATAAAGTAGCTTTGAGGACAGAAGCAATTGCAACCACTAGTTGTAAGGCCATCTTGTTCTTTCCCACTCATGGCAGCAAACGACTGAGACGAACAGGAGTATAACCTCTATTGGGGGCAGGGGGACCACACCCAGTAATGCACAAGGGTCCGAAAGCTATGGGCCACGGGCTAAATCCCACCCAGTGCTTGTTTTTATAAAGCCTAGAAGCTAAGAGTGACTCTTACATTTTGAAATGGTTAAAAAAAAAAAGGCTATTTGGTGATATATGCACGTTATATGAAAGTCACATTTCAGCCTCCATAAATAAGGCTGCACTGGAACACAGCCAGACTCCTTCATTTGCATTGTCTATGCCGCTTTCTCGTCATGGCAGAGTTTAATAATTGCTCCAGAGACTATATGCCCTGAAAAGCTGAAAATATTTAGTCTGGTCCTTTACAAAGTTTGCTGAACCCTTATCAATGTTATGCTCTACATGCATTAAGAACTTATAAATAGAAGAAAAATCATCTTTATCAGTTATGGAGAAAAAGTAAAAGAAATTACATATTATGATTATTTGTGAATAATTACTAGAAATGGACTCTCAAATAAGATCTGGTTTTTTGCTACGTTCCTCAGCAGCTTTCTGTGACAGCTATTCTTTCAAAGTTGCCACAGTCAGAGAAAGACAAATACCATATGATCTCACTTATGGGTGGAATCTAATGAACAAAATAAACAGATGAACAAAACAGAAAGAGAGGTATGGATACATGGAACAGACTGACAGATGGCAAGGGGATGGGGGGACTGGATGAAAGGAGGTGAAGGGATTAGCCAAGGAACATATGTGTATAACCCACAGACACAGGCCACAGTGTGGGGAGACGGTGGCAGTGGCTGGTGGAGGCAGGAAAATGGGGGGGAAATGGGGACATCTGTAACAGAATTGACAATAAAAATAAAGTTAAAAAATTGATAGATTCTTAAAACTTGATTTAAGGTGAATATTTTGATCTTTAAAGTACTTTTAACTTAGAAATAAGTTGGGAGAAAATGGTGACTTTTAATAATGGTGTTTCTACAACCAGCTCTATCAGAATTTCTTCTCAAAATAGAGGATTTGGTGAGCTGATGTGAATAATGGATTGGATGGAAGGAGGAGAATTTACTTTTAGGAAGTTTTTAAAGAAGTTTATGTTTTGTGTTTAGAAGCCTGGGGAGCAAACTCTTACTATTGAAAGTACTACCTATTATTTTCATAAACAACAGAACATTTCACTCGATAAATGAAATTTTAGAAATATTAGATTTCAAGTTCTTTTCTATTCGCAT